CCGCAGACAAAACCTTTGGTACCAAAAGTCAGGAGAGCAGGAGATGTACAGCATTGGGCAAATCTGCTGTCAGTGATCTCTCCAAAGCCCTGAAGAGCAATAATATTCATTTAAAGACTAAGGTGTGACTGATTCAGGCCAGTCTTTCCAGTCACTTGCTATGCATGTGAAAGCTGGACAGTGAGTAAGGATGGCAGAAGAAGAATTGAAGCATTTAAGTTGTGGTGCTGGAGAAGAGAACTGCCAAAAGAACAAATAGATCTATCTTGGAGAAACACAGCTGGAATATTCCTTGGAGGCAGAGATGATCATACTTCATCTCACGTATCTTGGACATGTTTTTAGAAGAGGCTATTCCTTAGAAAGGGACATCATGCTTGGAAAGATGGAAGGTCAGCAAAGACAAGCAAGATTCTCTGCAAAATGAATTAACACGGTGTCTGCAATAGTAGACTTAGATGTATCCGAATGGATAAGGATGACTCAGGATAGGACAGGGTTCAGATTTATTGGTCGCTATGAGTTGTACTTGGTGGCACTAAACACCACCATCATCCACTATGGAAAATAGGATGACTTGTCCTCTCAAAAAGCTATAAGTATAGACATATGTGATCTAGCAATCCCTGTCTTAGAGAAATCGGATGGAGAGAAATAGGAGCAGAGACATGGATTGGTGTGTGTACAGCCATGCTCATTGCAGCATTACTCATGATACTAAACAGATGGTCACAGCCTTAAGTGTTCATTCATGAAGTAATGAATAAACAAAATGTGGCACATACATGAAATGGGTTACGTGTAGTGACAACATTGGTGAATCCCAGAAAAAATGACACGGATGCGTCTGGGCAGTGCTATGCTGATTAAAATGTCTGTCACAAAAGAACAAGGTTTTTTTTCTCCTGTTTTGTTTTTTTAATTTATTATTAATTCCAATGAAAATTTACAGAGACTTTGGATTTCCACTCACTCATTGTTGCACTTTTCTCCCCTCCCAGCCCTCCCCCCTAGTACACTACTCTCTTGGAAAAAGAAAAGAAAAATTCTTTCATTGTTTTACAATCCCTCCACCAGGTCCACTCTACTATACAGCCTTTGCTCTGGACTCCTGTCATGACAAAAAGACCTAATCATATATCCCTCTTAAACGGTTTTCTCCCTCATCTGTTTCAGTGCAGTATACATTATTGAACCCATCTTTTTCAGTCTTCCCGCAACCCCAAGGTCAGTCCTGTTCTACAACAGTGGCACCATGAAGTATTTGTCCTTCTGTGACTAAGGACAAGTGTTTTATGATACTTGCTGGAGGATCAGCTATGGGTCAGTTCTAACACAATGGCACACAACAGCAAGCCACAACTTTGTTTTTCCTTATTTTTCCCCCTCTTTTTATTTATTTTTTTTATTTTAATGAAAGTTTACAGAGACTTAGGGTTTCTAAGTCATTCATTGTTTCACTTTTCTTCCTGCTCACCTCCTTCCCCCAATTCACTTTTCTCTTTGAAAAGTAAAAGAAAAACAGTATTTGTTGCAATATTTGTTCTTTTGTGTCTTGAGATATTTCACTCAGCATAATGTCCTCCAGGGTCACCCATTTTGTGTAATATTTCATGAGTTACTTGTTTTTCAATGCTGCATAGTATTCCATTGTGTGAATATACCACAGCTTCTCTATCCATTTGTTTGTTGATGGGCACTTGGGTTCTTTCTAGCTCTTTGCTATTGAAAACAAAGCCACAATAAGCATGGGTGTGCATATATCTGCTTGGGTGGTGGTTATGGTTTCTGTAGGTTATATTGCCAGTAGTGGAATTGCTGAGTCAAATGGTATTTCTATTTGCAACTTTTTGAGAAAGTGCCATACCGCCTTCCACAGTGGTTGCACCATTTTACACTCCCACCAAAAAATGAGTTCAGTTTCTCCACAACCTCACCAGCATTTGTTGTTTGCAGCAACAACGTTTATACAAAGCCAAGAATAGGTTTACACACCATAAAACCATATTATTTGATGGTTATTGAAAGGACCCCTGGTGACGTAGTGTATAATGTGCCATATTTTTAATTGTAAGGTTGGTGGTTTGGATCCACCAGCCACTCCATGGGAGAAAGATCAACAGTCTCTTTTTGTAAAGATTTATAGTCTTAGGGAGCTCTGGTGGTAAGAAGCTGCACTGCAGTGCCAGAGGAACACAGTTCAAATCCACCCGATGCTCTGCTGGAAAAGGAGGTGTAACCTCCTCCTGTACCAGTCAGATCTGATTTGACGGTACACACAAAAAATAATAAAATTGAAGAAAAACAAAAGATTTAGCGTCTTGGGATCCGGATGGAGGGTCACTGTGAGTCAAAATCAACTTGGCAGCAGTGGGAGTTGGTAGCTCCTAGGAATCAATGTCTTTGCATTGTGTTGGAGAAGAGTCCTGGCTATCTCATGGATGACCAAGAGGACAAACAGGGAATGTCTTGGATAAAGCGTAGCCACACTGTTCCTTGGAGGCAAAGATGGTGAATCTTTGTCTCAGATACTTCGGGCACGTTGTTAGGACGGGCTGTTCCCTGGAGAGGGACATCGTACTTGGAAAGGTGGAGGGTCAGTGAAGAAAGAAGATCCTCAATGAGATGGATTGACACGGTGACTGCAGCAATGGACTCAGGTGTGTCAAGAGAGGAGGCGGATGGCACAGCATATGACAGGGTTCAGGCCCATTGTTTATAGGGTGCCTATGAGATGTACTTAACAGCACTTAACAACAACAACAACAAAAATAAGAATGAAGAATCACTAGATAATGGACATGTCCTAATAATTGTGAAGAATACGATAATGCACAATGTGGAGGAGGAGTCGGCACAGTATGACCAGAATAAACTAAGACATTAAGGTATATGCAAAAGAAAGAACAAGTACAATAAACGCTGTAGTGGTGCTGGAGAAGAGTATTGAATATACCATGGACTGCCAAGAAAACAAACAGATTCAACCTAGAGAGGGTTAAACCAGGCTGCTCCTTGGAGGCAAGGATTCTGGGGCTTCGTCTGACATACTTTGGACATGTTGTAAGGAGAGACAGGCCCTTGGAGAGGGACATCATGCTTGGGAGGGTGGAGGGACAGTGCAGGAGGGGAAGGCCCTCTATGAGGTGGATTGATTCAGTGACTGGGGTTATCGGGATGCGTGTGTCAGAGGCAATGTGATTGGCACAGGATAGAGCAGGGTTTAGGGCTGTTGTACATAGGGTCGCTATGGGTCGCAAACGACTCGACAGCACATAACAACAACAACCTGCAGTTCTCCAGCAACAGTAATAACAATCCAAAATTGTTCATGTGACTATATAGGGATGGTTGTGGCCTTTGTATATACATATGTATCTGCTCCATATAAATTCATGGATATTATAGAATAAGGAGTACAGTAATGGAAGCTTCTTAACACACATACACACACCTCATAGGGCTGAGTTACTGGGCTTGAAGAACGAGGACTTAGGTGACATCAAGGTCAATCGGCATAATATAGTTTCTGAAGTTAATACTCCGCATCGTAGGTTGGTGAGTAGGTAGTCCTGGGGGCTTAGTGGTAAGGAACTACGCTACTAGCCCAAAGGCATAGGTTAAAATCCATCAACAGCTCCACAAGAGAAAGATGGGCAGTCTCTTCCCGTGTGATTTACTGCCTCTGAAAACCTGGTAGAATGTCAGCTGTTGTTTCTGATGTCTTAGCAATTTAGCATCAGCCATCTGTTATACATCTGTTGGCCTTTTCCTGTATGGAACAAGGGGAATTACTGAAGGAAGTAATTAGTCCACAGACCTAAAGACCCACGTGAACTCCAGCTTCCTCTAATCCAAGGCGAGAAGAATTTAATAGTGTCCAGCTGCCACTATCGTCTGTTCTGACTGGGGACACAGTAAGGTCTTCTTTAACATTGGATAAACATGTAGAACAAAACTTAAATTCATAAAAAAGACTGACTGGACTGTTAAGAGACTGGAGGATCCCCAAGACTAATGCCTTCTGCCTTAAGACCTTCCTTTAACCTTGACCTGAGGCCACTATAGGAGGTTACTGTTCATACAACTATCAGATCGGCCTATAAAGCAAACAGCCCTGGTGGACTGGTGCCAAGGAGTTGTGCTGCCCACCCAAAGGCAGTTAGCTCGAACCCAGCAGGTGCTGTGGGGGCGAAGGTTGGGCAGTCTCTTCCTGTGCAGTTAACTGCCTCTGGAAACCTGCTGGAGGGTCAGTTAGGAGTTAGTTCTGACTCCACAGTGATGAGATGATGACATTGATGATTCATGAATAGAAGTATCAAAGTGTTCTTTGTTTCAAAAAGGCCAGTAATTACGGAGTTCTCTCAGCTTTTCAAGTTTAGAAGGCATCTTGGTTGAAAAGAATCATTTTAGATCCAAACTTTTGTAGATTATTGTTCCTTCACCGGCCAGCACACAGTGCTTCTGTGGAGGAGTTGCAGACTGCCTGGTTGGTATAGTTTTGCTCTGTGATTCTCTTTGTTCACTTGATGGACTGAAGAATGCTTTCTGCTTGCAGTCCAGTAGGAGATACCTCGATGTTGAACATTCTGAATCTCTTTTTCTTCTGGTTTTTCAATCTGCGGTTGGCTTTGACATCATGTTAGGTGTGTGCATGTTATGTCTTAGAGTTCCTGTCATCCAGCCGGGGTGGGATTGTGGAGTGAGGGTAGGTTGACTTCCACTGTGTAATTCCAGTGTATCTCCTGTTGTAATTACATTGTTGTTGTGTGCCGATGAGTTGGAATTGACTCACAGCTGACTCTCCAATGGGTTTTCAGAGGCACCTTAATCACGGAGGAGGAATTAACCCATCCTTCTCCCACGGACGGACCGGAACCCTGTTCCTTGGGCCTTACAGCGCAGTGGCACCACTACACCACCAGAACGGTGCCTTTTGACTGAAATGAGGTAAACGGACCTTTCACATGGGCCCTCAGCCGTCTCCCTCTCCTTTTCAGTGCCATTTTTGTGATAAGGCTTTCATGAACCAGGCCTTTCTCCAGAGTCACATCCAGCGGCGCCACCTGGAGGACTCTCACCTTGGTAAGTCATGCGTCCTGTTCAAAAACCTTCATTTTTTTATATTTTCATTCATGTTAAGATGAAACATGGCCCGGTGCATGTCTCAACCAGTTTACAGAAAGTGGCATACCCTTGTTTATCCATTAAGGAACTATGGGCCCCCCTCCTGTGTGCATATGTACCATACATAGTCACATTGCCCTCTCTGGGCTTGGGAAGCTGCAGCAAACAGGGCGGCCTGTTCCCTGGAGTGTTCACACCCTAGTGGGAAGGAAGGAATGAGAAGATGTATTTATAGAAGAGAATACTTCTTCCTAAATGGAGCAAACACAGTGAAGGACAGAAAGCAGGAGAACGAGAAGAGAAGGACCCCAGGCGTCAACCTTGGCCTCTGAGGAGATGACATATGACTAGAGACCTGAGTGATTATGTTTTCTGGCCTTGGGAAATCTGGGAAAAGAATATCCTAGTCAGAGATACATTGATGTGAAAGTCTGTGTGGATGGAGGCATGTCGCCTAGCTGAGAAAGACACAGAAGGTTGGTGGTGAGGACAAGGAGGTTGTGTGTGGTGGGGGAAGCCAGATCATACAGGGCTGTGCAGGGCCTGGGTAGGAATGTTGATGGAACTGGAAGAGTAACGGGAAGTCACTGGGATGGAAAATGAATGGGGCGACAGTGGAAGCAGTGGGGGGAGTGAGAATGACTCCGAGTAGTGCAGCTGAGGAAGACGGCAGCCTGGGCCAAGGCAGGGCTGACGAAGGTGGAGAGCCGTGAACGGGTGTTTCAGACCCAGAGCCCACCAAGATGTGACTAGTGTGAGAGGGAGAGATGGGGGGGAAAGGGAGGTTACTACCGAGCTGAGTGAGAAGCAGAAGCTGGGTTTTGTTTGGACTGTTTATAAATTTGAATCACATGTGCAAGTGAATCTGTGAGAGGCCTGGAACTGCAGGTGGAAGCCCAGATTGAGAGAGAGAATTTAGAACACTGAAGTACAAACTCAGGTGGATGAAGCCGCGTAAGTGAGGGAAGCGAAGCCTGAGGGCCAACCGTGGGGCCCTTTCAACCCCTTTTCAAAGCTCAGGAGGAAGATGGCCAGGAGGGAGTCAGCCGTCAGCACGGGAAGCTGCCCAGTGTGCCGAGATGGCAGCCCAGGGGGAATCTGCGTTCCAGGAGTCATAGGTCGGCTGGTTGAGATGGACCACGGCCCAGAGTCAAATGGAAACTGGGCACGGTCAAGTGGCTTTGTCATCACAGGAGTTACTGGTGACTTGATGGCATATTAGTGGGGCCAGAAGTCCTGCTAGAGTCGCCAGCTGAGCATGTGGTCAGGAGGACGTGATCAATATGACAGACTCTGGTTTCTGTAACCATCGTGCAACCAGTGACAACAGAGACCAAGGTGCTGTCTGGATTCTTTTATGCTTTGTAGAATCTAGTTAAGTCCCACAGTACAGAAGGGGAACTCAAAGAGAGGCAGGGCTTTCTGTGGCTCCTACACAAACCCGTTTCCTACTGTGGAGATCTTCTCAGAATGCAGAGCCCAGCTTTCTTCAGGTTGCCCAGGGCCCCCCAGAAATTCTGGCTCTGCTGTTAGTGGTCCTGAGTCTTGAGATTAGGTGTCCTGCTGGTCTGTCATCCCATGCCTGCCTCCCCCACACACATGGGGCGAGTCTGTTTCCATGACAGCTAATTCCAGGTAAATAGCCTTGTTTAAGAAATAGTCAGACTCTGTATAGACCAGTACAAAATTCCACCTATAAACCAGGGACACTGATAGAATTTAGCAGGATATTTGAGAAGGGTTAAGTTTTTGAATTAACACTAACATTCTTGGCGGCGTGCAACTGACCTCCTTTCTCTTCTGTTTCAGTATCTCGCTCTAGCTCATACTCATTTCCGAGAATGTTTCAGACTCTGAGATGAGTATTATTTCTTCAGGTCATCTCTGAGCTTCTGACTCTCTGCTATGGTTTCCACCCCTTTCATGTCTGCCCTCACAGACACATGCATATCCATTCAGTCACGTGTACATCTGCATGTAAGTACATGGACATAAGTACTCTGCCTTTCACGTGTTGCTTCCTTTGACGACTTGTCCGTAGCCGGTTGTGGGCCCTAGCTAGTGTTTTGAACGTGAGCCCTTTGCCTGGACCTAAGCAGAGTTCACTGATGGGGTTCCCTGAAGAGCTCGGTGGGAGCCCCAGGCATGGTGGCCAGAGGGAGTTCTGTAAGGTGGCGCTCACAGTGGGAGTCACTGTTGCCCTTCTCGGATTGAGACCGCTGTCTCTAAGAAGAGGCCCAGCTGCCATTGTGGTCTAACAACCATGACTATGCCTTGATGCCATCTTTGTTCTCTGCATGGGGTCCTGTCACACTGTCTCTGGAAGGATCATCCAGACGCAACACAGTGGCTATGTTGAGAAAGAATCTGCTACAAGTGACTTTAGTGACTTTAGGGCTTGGTCCGTGTTAAGGGGCCCAGATAAATGTCACATGTACAAATTGGGTTGTGTGGCATTGGACACACAGCGTGCACGGCACAATGAGAGCAGTTGCTTTTCTCTTATTGATAGGCCCGTGCCCCCTAACGTACTAAGATGATGTTTCGTGAGGGATGGTGGTGGTGTAACAGCAGATTTCTGTTGCCACAGAGTATAAGAAGAAGGCGCAGACCGACAAGCTCCAGGACGAGGTGAACATGTTGAAGGAGCAGCTGCAGCTGACCCGGTCCCAGCTGGAGGCAGCCCAGCACGCCCACGCGCTCCGAATGTCCAAGGTGCGTTGTCGCTCGCTCTCGGGGTTCGCTGGCTTTGTGCCGTGGGACACAGTGCAGTGGGGAGTGCAGGCAGTGACGCTCGGGGCCGTAAAGGGAATGACTGGCGTTCCGAAGCTCCCAGCGGCTCTGTAGGAGAAGGCCTGACGATCAGGGATCTGCTCCTGTAAAGATTGTTTTAAAAGTTTTGATGTGAAGCAAATAATGCAAAGATCCTAATTATGTGGGTGCAGCTTTTCTTCAAATGCATTCGCTGGTATCATTTTTTATTGCTGTGTCTTAATAGTAATGTATAACAGCAAATATTTTCTTGACATACTAGAATGTATTGACCAAGGATGATTTTTTCTCTCTCCTTACTTGATCTCTAAAAAGATCTCTCAATAGCTGTGCTATTTTAGCAAGACATCAAGTAGTACTAATGAGCCACTTTGAATTTAGTTAGTAAAAACCTGAATAGACATTTACTTTTGTGGGTGGATAAAGGCCGACTGTTAATGTTAGTTGCCATCAAGTCACTCCTGATGCACGGAGACCCCGTATGTGCACAGAAAACTGCATTGTGTGCTGTCTTCTGGGTAACTGGGTTCAAACTGCCAACCTTTTACTTAGAACCAAGCACTTGACCAGTTGTGCAAACCAGCAGCTCCTGAAATGAGGCTCCCCTACCCCTTAAAAATGACAGGGTGAGAAAGGATTCTTTGCACAACTGATGTTTTGTTTTATATGTTTACATTTAACCTGTGGTTGAGTGTCTACTGTACAAGTTCATAGAATATTGAAAGTTTAAGCCTGCCCTCGGTTGGAGTGAAAGCACACAAGGATGCAGAGAACTTGCCTGTCTATGTTGTTGCTCACAGACATGCCATTCTGTGACGTGGCGTTAACACGTCTCACTGAAACAGGTGATACCAGCGAATGCGTTTGAAGAAAAGCTACAGCCACATAATTAGGATCTTTGCATTATTTGCTTCACATCAAAACTTTTAAAACAAGGAACTCACGCAATATTATTCAAAATGGGTGATTCTGGAGGACATTATGCTGAGTGAAATATCTCAGTCACAGAAGGACAAACACTGTATAATGCCACTGCTGTAGAATGACACTGACATCGGGGTGGGGGTAAGACTGAGAAAAACTGGATAAATTAGGTTTACTGCATTGTGGCCGATGAGGGAGAGAATAGTTTAGAAGTAATATATTTTAGGGCATTATGATTATCATAGAGTCCGGAATGAGGGTTTCAGAGTGGAGTGTATTTGGGGTGGGGATGGGAGTGTGCAGGGGGGATTGTGTACCAATGAAGGAGTTTTTCTTTTGCTTTTCAAGGAGAGGAGCGAACTGGGGGGGGGGGGGGGGCGGGCGGGGAGAAAAGTGCAACAATGAAAGAATGGAATTCCAAAATCTCTGTAGATGTTCGTTGAAATTAATAAAAAAAATTAATTTAAAAAAAACCCTTTCAGAGCTATGTTTTAATATTTCAGGAATATGAATCGCAGAAAATAAAAGAGGAAGAATTTATGAAGTTGTTTCATAGATGGAAAGAGGAAGAAAGGGAAAAGCTTGTTGATGAAATGGAAAAAGTCAAGGAGATGTTTACAAAGGAGCTTAAAGAATTAACATCAAAAAATTCAGCGTTAGAATGTGTGAGTATTAACCTGGATGTTCTAATAGTGCTAGAAGATTAATTGATTAGCTAATTAGTTAATATCAAGAAAACAACAATTCTCACCACTGGGCTGATTGGCAGTGTCATAATGGATGGTGAAGAGAATGAGATTGTTCAAAGGTTTAGTTTGCTTGGATCCACAGTCAACACTCTTGGCACCAGCAGCCAGGAAATTTAAAGATGTATTGAGATGGGAAAGTCTGTGGCTAGAGACCTCTCTAAAGTGCTGAAGTGCAAAGATGTCATTCTGGAGACTAAGGTGCACATGACACAGGCCATGGTCTTTGCAATCACTTGCTATGTATGCATCGGATAGCTGGAGAATGACTGGGGATAATAGAAGGAGAATTGATGCCTTTGAGCTGTGGTGCTGGAGAAGAGTGTTGAATATACCATGGACTGCTAGGAAAACAAACAGATTTGTCCTGGAGAGGGTGAAGCCGGGCTATTCCTAGGAGGCAAAGATTCTGAAGTTCCGTCTGACATACTATGGACATGTTGCAAGGCGGGACTGACTGGTCCTTGGAGAAGGACATCATGCTTGGGAGGGTGGAGGAACAGTGCAGGGGAGGAACACCCTCTATAAGGTGGATTGATTCAGTGACTGGGATAATGGGACAGGTGTGTCAGAGATGGTGAGATTTGCACAGGACAGAGCAGGGTTTAGGGCTCTTGTACATAGGGTCGCTGAGTCACAGGTTTCTCGACGGCACATAACAACAAACAACAATAATTAATTACTGTGGCCTTGGGAGAGGAGGGTAGAATGGCATGATGGCTAAAGGACCGAGAAATTCCTTTATTGTCACTTGTCCTTGACGTCCTTCCGTGGACTCTTGACAGGAGCACTTGGCGTGTAGAAGAAGGAACAAGTCAGAGGATGCTGGGTGTTGAGAGCAGGCGCCTTGGCACCAAGCTTCAGTGCAGCAGGATCATACGATGGCTTTGTCAGGGTCATTGAAGGCTCCTCTTTCCATAGCAGGATAGACTGTTGTCTGTGCCAGTGCCTGTGATTCAGAGCGAGCCTGTGAACAGTGGCTCTGAACCTTGCTCTGTCCCATGCCATCCTTATCATCTCATGTACTTAAACCCATGGCTGTAGTCAGTGTGTAGTCAGGCTGTAGTCATCTCAGTGAGGATCTTCCTCTCTATTGCTGACCACCACCCACCTTTCCAAGCATGATGTCTTTGTCCAAGGCCTGGCCTTCCAAAACCATGTCTAAAATAGGTGAAATGAAGCATCACCATCCTTGCCTCCAGGGAGCACCCTGGCTGCACATTGTCCAAGATGTATTTGTTATTTTTGGCAGTTCATGGGATATTCAGTACTCGATTCTCCAATACCGCAACTCAAAGACACAGATGATTCTTCTGTGATCCTTAGTCATCATCTGACTTTCAGGTGCATAAAAAGTTAATTGAAAAGACCATGGTTTGAATCAGATGTACCTTGGCCTTTGATTGACATCATTGCCCTAGAATACCATGAGAGGTCTTTGAGAGCAGGGTTATTAGGTTAGGTTGAGGTCACTTGAAACCATAAATCATGCCCTGACTGTGGACTTGGCCGTGGTCGTGACTGTGAAAGCTAATGCAGGTCATCACCGTGGGAGACAGAAGCCGACCCAGAAAACAAAGTGAGACTCTTTACGAGCCCCCTTTGGTGCCCACTCCAGTCATGGCTGGTGGGGGGGGGGCAAATGAGTATATTGGCAAGAAACGACCCCACATTAGCCATGCTGCCCTCATCTCATGTATGTGTGATAGAGACAAACCCAGCTGAGACCTTCATCCTCTGGGAAAACGGCCAGCGTCCTCCACACAACCTGCTGTTCACCTAAACTCGGCTAGTTTGAGCCTGTGTCATCCTGAGAGGGAAAAAATATCCTTGAGCACCCTCTAGAGGCCAGCCGGTTTTATTCATTCAAAAAAAGGAATATTCATGGACTATTGCTAACATCCTTCCCTAAAACTCCTTAAATTTTAGCATAGCAATTTGGGCCAAAGCTGGCCTGCCGTCTGTTTTTGTATGTGCAGGGACCCATACAAAATGACATCTCTATTTTATCTAATTTTAATTTTTTTAAATTTTTTATTTTTTATGTGGGTACTGTCAAACCAGATCTGACAGGTACAGGAGGAGATTGTCCCTCCTTTTTCCAGCAGAGCATCTGGTGGATTCGAACCGCATACCTCTGGGGTTGCAGTGCAGCTTCTTGCCACTAGGCCACCAGAGCTCCCTTAGTTTTTAATTTTTTTAAAAACATTTTAATTTTTTTCTGTGTACCATCAAATCAGATCTGACTGGTGTACGGGAGGAGATTGTCTCTCCTTCTCCAGCAAAACATCTGGTGGATTTGAACCATGCACCTCTGGGAATGCAATGCAGCTTCTTGCCAAGGCCACCAGAGCTCGCAAAAATGACTTCTCTATTTTAATAAAAATGGAAAATTTTATTACACTTCTGAAAAGGAATTAAAAAGAAATCTTTCATGATCTTGGAAATACATGCCTTTAAGTAAATGTCAGTGTCTGTCAGTAAAGTTTAATTGGCACACAGCCACGCTCATCCACTTGTGTGTTCTGTGCAAGGCCGCCATGCTACAGCGTACAGTTGAGAAGTTGCAGTAGAGACAGCATTGGCCACAAACCAGGAAGATTTACTATCTGGCTCTTTACAGAGGAGGTCCACATGAAGTCATCAGACAGTTGCATTTTTTAAAAAAGTTATTTGCAATGAGTAGGGAGTCATACAAAGTCCTTTTACATCATCTCCATCCTTGTTTTTACCACCAAGACCATGGTTTTTAACCATCCATCATTCTTCTCTGTTCCCAGCTTTTTCATTCCAATCACCAGTTGCTCGTAATGGATCTTGATTGCCTGTTTGATCAATTCCAGGCTGTTCAGAGTTGATAGAAAGCTTCACTTTTATCATCTTTGGCTTTAACGCTTCGTGTGTGCAGTTGAGTAATGGTCACGTTGACTGGTCTGGCTTGTGTACGTGGCTGTCATCCTGTCCCTGACAGTCTTGTACCTCAGGGTAGATCCTACAATATCCTTTTGACGGTGAATACCATTCCACTTCAGTTTGTTATTTCCCGACATAACAGACCATATGATTGTCCAATCCAGAATGGCCAGGAGCCATCCATTTCAGCTCCAGATAATTATCTTTATTTGTTCCATTTTGTTTTTTATAACCTCCTTTTTTTTAGATTCATTCTTCTTACATTCCACACTCCACTTACTAATGAATGACGTTTGCCACTGCTTCTCTTTTGAATTGTTCCATATTAGCAGATAAAAGCCCTTCATCGGCTGAAAGCTTCACTCTATCCACATCATTGAAGTTCATTCTGCTTTGTGGCGGGAGCTCTGGTGGCTTCGTGGTAAGAAGCTGCACTGACAGCCTGAAGGTTCCGCTTCAAACCCACTAGCTGCTCCGCAGGAGAAAAATGGGCAGTTTCCTCCTGTGTGAGTTATCGCCTCTGAAAACCCACTGGCGGGTCTGCTGTTGGTCAGTTCTGACGTGACCACAGATGTCATCTCCTGCTTTATGAAGGCAGCTCTTCCTCGGTTGTGTTTCGAGTGCCTTCCAGCCTGGGTGGCCCACCATCTGGTACCATGTCAGATAGTGGTGGTCTGCTGCTGTTGGTCAAAAGCTTTTCACTGACTGACTGCTTCTTAGGGTCAAATAATGTTCAGGTGTCTGGATAAACCACATAGTGTTTGTTTATCACTTTTTTTAAACAGTCCCTCCGTAAGGACTATCCACCTAGCTTTGTATCCAAAGACGAAATTTGTAGGTGAAAGGAGTTAGCCTTCGTTACAGACTGGTTAATTTCAGGGTCAAAAATAAGGAACGCTTCACGAATTTGCGTGTCATCCTTGCGCAGGGGCCATGCTAATCTTCTCTGTATCGTTCCAATTTTAGTATATGTGCTGCCGAAGCAAGCACTGTTTATCACTTTTAAGCTGTAGAGTTTGTTGTTGTTTTTTTAAAAAAAATATATTGGGGGAGCTCTGGTGGCCTAGTGGCAAGAAGCTGCACTGCAATCCCAGAGGCTCATGGTTCGAATCCACCAGATGCTCTGCTGGGAAAGGAGGGACAATCTCCTCCTGTACCAGTCAGATCTGATTTGATGGTACACAGACACACAAAATAATAATAAAATTAAAAAAATATATACATTGGACTATTTTTTCAAGAAGTTTTAGATTTACAGAAAAGTTAAGCAGATTAACAGGAAATTCCATATAGCTTCACATCCAGCTCAGTTTCCACTATAATTACCATGTTGGAGTGTGGAATGGTCATTACGATTAGTGAGCAAATATTGAACTGAGAGTATTATTAACTAGAGTTCATACTTTATATAAATTCGTTTTTATTTCATATCTTTAGCTTCCATTGTCAGTGAACATTTCTCAGCTCGCCCTTGGTTTTTCATTTTGGGGGTGTTTTTTTGTTGGGGTTTTTTTTTTTTACATTTTTTCATTGTGTTGTGTGTGAATGTTTATTATAAAGCATATTGTGGTGTTTTTTCTCTCATTCAGTGGGTCATGCATATTTTGTTGCATGATTTTTTTACTATATATTCAATATCTGATTGTTTATTCATTCCACAATGCCCTTCGCTTCATTCATCCCAAGAAAGTGCTCCTTGCCTAGCCCTTGTTTTTGATGACAGTGTTGGGGATTACTGATTGGCTCAGTCATCTGGTGCTGCTGTAACAGAGAACCACAAGTGGATGGCTTTTACAAAGGGAATATTCACTTGGTTTAGGAGGCTACAAGTCCTAATTTAGGGTACCAGCTATCGGGGGAGGCTCCCTTTTCCTCTGTTGCTTGTTTTCCTTCAACATCTACAGATGAAGCATTCCTTAGGGCTCTTCATGAGCCTTGGCTCTGCCCAGCAAGGTGCTTCCCCAGCCCAGGACCCAGGTCTAAAAGGAGGTGCTTGGTTCCTGGCAGTTCTTCCTGGAGCGTCTTCAGAAATCTCCCTCTTGTCCTCCTCTCAGCCCTCACTCTCCTCCCTTTTACATACAGTGAGATGAACAGTTTTCCCGACTTTGCCTTGGGAAAGGGGCCCTTCCATCAGCTCAGGCTGTGATGGGATGGAGGGGTGCTGTGTTCCACCCCAGTACTCTTTCTTTTTACTATTTGATTTTATTATTTTTTGTCTATGTGTAGCGTCAAATCGGATCTTACTGGGATGGGAGAAGATTGCCCCTCCTTCTCCAGCAGAGCATCTGGTGGATTTGAACCATGCACCTCTGGTATTGCAGTGCAGCTTCTTGCCACTAGGCCACCAGAGTTCCCTTCCACCCCAGTACTCTTAACAGATGCTTGGTTTAGCTGATCCCAGAGAATTATCCCCTTGCTTCCATATTACACAATCACACAAATGTGCTTTTTAAGCCTTGCTTTGTTTTTATTAATGTACATACACTTACAGGTGCTTCCAAGGGGTGCAGTTCAGTCCATGACACTGGCCAGTTGTGTTGTATGATGCCCTGAGACTGAAATGTGTGTGATTTACCCCTATCCTCCAATTAGACTATGTTTGTAGGCTTTGGAGAGGAAAATGAGAGGTAAAGCACCATTTTCATCGTGTTTTGTCAGAAAGTATGCAGAGCTGGGCAAAGTTGTCATGCGGGGAAAATAAGAGGATCTTGGAAGGAGTGAAAGACTCAATGAGACGGATTGATATACTGACCTCAGCAGTGAGCTGGAATGAGGAGGGGTTCATGACAGCAGCGTCAAGGCCTGATCTCCTGTCTGTAGACACTTAACACCTACTCCCGTGAGAGTCAGTGGTGGCCCTCTTTACCTGGCTGAGGTAGTGTTTGCCAGGAGCTCCATTGGAAAGCTACCCCTTTTTCTCCCTTTCCACATCACACTCTTGGAAGGAAGTCTATATTTGTGGTTCATACTTAACATGTTGTTGTGAACCATTAAGTTAGAACCAACTCCTAGCCGACCCTCCAGTGGCTTTTCAGGAGGCTGTAAATCTCCCAAGAGGAGATTGGCCGTCCCGTGGAGCAGCCGGTGCATTTGACTCGAATCCCCCGCCGTCGCTGAAGTTAGCACACTGCGTACTCTCCAGTGGTTTTTCTGAGGGCTTTACCACCTGTAACTGGACATGAAGGCGCAGTGCTGGCTCTGGGTTGGATCCTGACCTTCCTTGCTCTGGAGGCCTGTGGTCATGTACAGATAGTCCACCCCACGCACAGGCACCACACGTCCGTCAGTGGAGGTTATGCGTGTGCTGCGGGGACTCTGAGCACATTTCAGTGGAGCTTCCAGACTTAGACGAACGAGGAAGGGAGGCATGAGTGCTTGTTTCTGAGGGCCAGCCAGTAGCAAGCCTGGGGACCACTGTGGTCCGGTCTGCACACATCACGGGTGAACAGTTCTGTACCCGGAGTTGCCATGCTCTGCAGATCAACTCAACAAGAGCCAGCCCCAGCTAACTTGGAATCTTAGCAAGGTGAAATGAATCCTTAAGACCCAAAAGAGTTGGTAACGCATCCCCAGTGTTGGCCTCATCGATGAGTTATTTTAATTTGCGAACCAGCTGCACCCTGTTTTCTGTCCCTGACCCCTGGTACCTGCTATCTAACATTTAGAGGCAAATTCCCTAATATCAGGGGTTCGTTTTCCTTTATCTTTCCCTACCCTCCACACTTTCTGTTAGAAAGGCCCAGTAAGTAGTAAGAAACAAAATAGAAAAAAACCCCAGAAGGAGAATTTGTTGTTGTTAGGTTCCATCAAGTATGAGCCATAGCGACCTCGTGCACAGCAGATCTGAACCCCGTCCTATCCTGTGCCGTCCTTATCTTCTCTGATGCACCTGAGCCCATTGCTGCAGTCACTGTGTCAATCCATCTCATAGAGGGTCTGACCCTCCACATTTCTGAGCATGGCATCCCTCTCCAAGGAGTAGCCTCTCCTAGTCTGTGCCCAGAGTATGTGAAATGAAGCTTTATCTTTGGTTTTTTATTAGTGTGTGTGTGTGTGTGTATACCATCAAATTGGATCTGACTGGGACAGGAGGAGATTGTCCCTCCTTCTCCAGTAGTGCATCTGATGGATTCGAACTGTGCACCTCTGGGATTGCAGTGCAGCTTCTTGCCACTAGGCCACCAGAGCTCACCATCATCTTTGTTTTTAAGGAGCAATTGGGCTGCACATTCTTCAAGACATCTTGGTGAGGAATCGGGGTGGGGGGAGTGAGGAGTTAGGAGGGGTGCTGTATAACAATGAAGGAACTCTTTTCCCCCAAAGAAAAAAAGCAAACTGGGGGGGGGGTAAGTGAGACAGGGAGGAAAATGTACAACAGTGAATGAATGGAAATCCAAGTTCTGCATAAACTTTCAGTAAAATCTCAATTTTAAAATAAGTAGAAGCAAAGAGAGTTTTGATAGGATAGTCAGATTTAAGATGTAGCTGTGTGTGAACTGATTTTCTGTTTCCATCTCATAAAAGTAGAAACATTTGTCCCAGTGATTTTGAATTTTATCTTTCAGCAATTGTCAGAAATACAGAAGTCAAATATGCAAATCAAGTCCAACATAGGCACCTTAAAAGATGCACCTGAGTGTGGTGAAGACAATTCAAAGTCTCCCCAGGATTTCCAAAATGTGGTGGAACTTCTGGATAATCAGGTCTGTAAAATTTGAGTGGTTTCTGTGGTGGATGCCTGAGTTCTTATTTGTCATAAATAAGTTTTAGTAAGCATCATTTATGGAAAAAGTGTGAACAGATGAATAGTTCTTATTGTTTTCTTGATTCTTACTACATATAAAGTTCTTAAGTTCAGTAAATGCTTGTTGATTGACTAGTAGAAGTGGATAGAAATTTTTCTCTCTCAAATTAACAGTTGAAAAAACTGTTTCATTGTTTTTCTAACATAATGATCATTTGATTTGGTTAGTTTTGCTATAGTCTTTTTTTTCTTTCAAGATTTTTTTAATGGAGAAATTAATCAATTCAATAAAACAATTTTTCCATGTTAATGTTGTTGTTCATAATCTTTATTTTTTATAGCTCTCCATGTCAAAAGGCGTGAAGAGGCATACTGATACACTGATTTGATTTTTAGAGTTCTAGCGTACTTTGCTTAATTGGCATAACCTAACAAATTGGTAGTCTTTTAACATTATCAAACATAATTAAAATAATTTTAAAATCACCTTCAGGATACTAATAGCAAAGTCTTTATGAGACCTATTTTAGTCACACTTGTTTAGGACAGGAAACTCATATGATTAAAAAGCTCATTAGAAAAGTACATAAACATATGTCATTTAAAAAGGTCAGTGGGCTTTTGAACTGCTTGGCATTGCCTCTTGGCCTGCGAGCTTCTCACGTCCCTTCCCCAGTTTTGTGGCCATTATCCTATCACTGGCAGCCTTGAACTTCAGGACGGATTGGAAATACTCTTTTTTGACACTGATGTCGTTCTCATCAGTTTGCCATTTTAACAACACCATTAATCTTACAAGTAAAATCTTGCCAAAGATAATGAAGAAAAAAAAAAGTAGTTGAGGAGTACACTTGGCTGGGAACTTCTGGGAATTTAAGCTAGATTCAGAAGAGGACGTAGGATGAGGATTACCATTGCTGGTGTCACATGGCTCTTACCTTAAAGCCAAAAGAAAAATACCAGAATGATGTTGACCTGTGTTTTATTGACTGTGCAGAAGCGTTCACTTGTGTGGCTCGTAACTGGAATTCCAGAACACTTAATTGTGCTCATTGGGTAGGCATTTAAACAGGACAAAGAGCTACTGTGTAGTTCAAAACCAGGAAGGATGTGTATCGGAGTTATCTCTTTCTACCATAATTATTTATATGTCTCTGAGCAAATTCAAGAAGCTGTTGTGCGAGAAAGTCATAGCGTCAGAATCACTGGGGGACACATCAACAACATGTGATGCGCAGATGATACCACCTTGCCTTCTGAAAGTCTTGAAGTCCTTAACTGAGAAAGATCAAAGAGTACGGCTTACACCTCAACATCAGGAAAACAAAGATCTCCACAGCTGGACCAGTAAGCAGTGATAGCTGTATAAAAGGTGAAAGGTGTCCAGAATTTTATTTCTTTTAGATCATCAATCAGTACCATGGTCACAGGAGCCAAACAATCAAAGATACATTGGAATATTCCCCAGTGAGGGTTCTCTTTAAATTGTTAAAAGATAACGTGACCATTTTGCGTAGGGTGTGCCTGACCTAGGGAGCTCTGGGGGCCTCGTGGTAAGGAACTGCACTGCCATCCCAAAGGCATGCAGTTCAAATCCATCCACTGCTCTGTGGGCGAAGGATGGAGTAAGTCTTCTCCTGTGCCGTTTTCTGTCTCAGAAGACCCACTGGAGGGTCAGCTATGAGTCGGTTCCCACTCACCGGTACACAATGACCACATGCCTGACCTAAGCAAAGGTGTTCTAATCACCTCAGCTTCCTGCAGAGATGGACCGTGAATGAGTGAGACTAAAGAAGAATGTGTGAATTTGAACTGGAGTTCTGGCAAAGAATTTTAACTGTGTCATAAACTGCCTGAAGAAAGAACAAACTTCTTTTGGAAGAAGAGTAGCTCAAACATCCTTTAGAAATGTAGTTCTTTTGCCCCAGAGGCTTTGGATAGGTTATCGGGGGACCAATCCCTGGAGAAGAACAGAATGCGTGGTAAAGCAGAGGATCGTTGGAGAGAGGAGGTCTCTCAGTGAGATGGGCCGGCATGGGAGCTGAACAGTGGACTCAAACATCACAACAGTTGTGAGAACGACACAGGAACAAGCAGCGTATTGTGCGCAGGGTCCCTGGGAGTCGGAAGTGGCTGCGTGGCACCTGAAGACAACAGGGGCCCCGGGGGTGTCAGATTTGCTCCACTGCTAATGAGAAAGATGAAGTTCAGATTCACCCAGGGCTACCTTGGAGGAAAGGCCTACTCGTCTACCTCCCACAAGTCAGGCCCTGGAAGTCAGGCACCTGGTGACCACAGGAAGAAAGCCAACTCTTAGTAAAGTAATTCTTCACTCTACCAAATACCCATAGATTTCATTTTAGAGTTGCCACATGGGTCACTCTTGTTTATTATTTTTGTAGGAAAAAATGTGGACGGCTCGAGTTCAAGCCCTTCATCAAGAACACCGGAAAGAAAGGACCCGGGTAAGATTTGAACCACCAAACTTGTGTACCTTTGCTAAGGTACAAAATGGCCTTTTATTAGTATAACCACCAGCAGTGTCTGTATGACACAGGTACACAAGTGTGTATGACACAGGGTGAAAAAGGTTCAGGTGACCCCAGCGATTACCATCTCAGGGGCCGCTGAGCTGAGCCCCGCTCATAGTGACCCTGTGAACAGCAGGTCTGAACCCTGTCCTATCCTGTGCCCCCTCATCGGCTCTGACACCCATTGCCTCATTCACTGTGGTGTTGATCCATCTCATTGAGGGTTTTCCTCTCTTAAGGCCGACCCGCATTCCTCTTATGTTATTGCTGCTGTTTGTCAAATCAGAATCAACTCCTAGCTGACCTTCCAGCAGGTTTTCAGAGGCCGTAAATCACCTGGGAGGAGATTGCCCACCTTTCTCCCTCAGAGCATCAGGTGGATTCGAACCACATGCCTTGGGGCTGGCAGTGTAGCTTCTTACCACTCAGCCACCACAGTTCTCTGTAGTCTTCAAAGTCTCTGTAAATTTTCATTAAAATTAATAATAATTTTAAAAAATATA